AGTTCATAAACAAAGAAATAAAAAGTTTCACATATATATTTTTTACTTCATCTTTCGATTTATTAAAAATTTTATTTACAACTTGAATTTAAGCGAATGCAAATATCATTGTATATTTTCTCATCACAATAACATGAAACGCAAGATTAAGTAAAACAGAAAAGGAAGAACACATGAAAAACGAAATATATGTGATGATGAGCACATGGTCGGAAAAAACTAGTCTATCCGATGAAAAAGTCATGCTCCATTAAGTCATGTAAAAAATGCGTTTGTGAGGAAAAAACCAAGTAATATTGTTATATTATAAATACAGAATAAAACCTGTTGCAAACATGCAAAACAAAATTTGTACACTCAAGTATCATCTAGCACGTAAGTATATTTAATTTCTAATATTCTTAGATTAGTGATAACATTAAAGTTGAAAGTAAACAGTGACTACAAACAAGAAAAAAACGAAAGTAGTTTTATGAAAGCTTCGTTTGGTAATAATCAGAATGTGCAGTTGATTATCTTGATTGAAGAAGTTCTTACGTGTATTATAATCTTATTGCAAATCATGTTAAACACATTAACTTTTCTATGCTTATATTTCATCGGGAATATCGATAATGAAAGGTACAATTTTCACTTTTAAGAAGATAACATAGCAAGGAATTCAAGGAATTGTAATAGAATTTGCTCAATGATATAGATGCACAAAAAGAACCTATTTAAATCTTAATGTGTTCAATCAAAATCTAAGATTTGTATATGAAAACAATAAGTCCGTATTCACAGGACAGAAAATGTTCTTGAAATTTTACGTGATGGAAAAAAAATATTACTTAATTTACTTGAATTATTTATTTACGATCCATTAATCGATTGAACTGGTCATGATACAGGTGTTCTTGCTACATTTTACGGTGGACAAAGTAATTTATACGAACAAATAACAATTAAAAAACATCAAGTTGAAAAAGATTCTTTATTACGAATGTTTCATCTTCATAAAATTGAAATACGATAAAATTGGATTAATTTAGGGTAAAACAAAAAAATAAAAATTTTCAAATAAAAATTTATTTCCTAGTGAATCAGTTAATCGTACAATGAATAAATTAATTCAACGTGTTAATGATATAAATGAATTAGATAAAACTTCTAATGAACAAGAAATAAAAAAAGAATATTATGAAAAGATGTTTAGATTATTTTAAACAAGCATCAACAACAAATCATTCATTATTTCAAAGGTTAAATTTATTTCGAAAAAAAGATTTTATTTAAAAAAAATTTTTTTTTAGACGAAAGAGATTATAAATCATTCGAAAAGATATGAATACGGCAAAAGATTTAGTCTTATCACTTTATCAAAATCTTGGAAATGTTTTAATAAATAGTAATATAAGAAATCTTATTAAAAAAATTCTTTTTTCAATTTATTTATTATAGGAAGCACATGCGGGTTTACAATCAAAAACATTTTCTGATAAACTTTATCAATTTATTGAAAATGATAATGTTTTAACAAGTACATCACCTGTTGTTTTAGCTGCGACGTTTTTTCAGACAGCAGGAAAAACAACACTTCTGCACCAGAGTGAACAATTAGATGATCAATTACGAAATACTATGAAAACTTATAGAGTAGTACGACAATCAACAGTTACAAATGTTTTGAAAAATCTTATAGAACTTTGTCAATATTTACCAATTGATTATATTCAATCATCTTTTTCAACAATACTAAAATATCATTTAAACGAACTTTATAATAATTTTACCAGAGAAAAGTAAAAAAATGCTTCTTCCTTTATTTCTTGTTTATTTATTTATCTATTAAATAGATGTCAAGAATTTTTAAATTATATCGATATATATCTTTTAATTGATGAAAAATTCCTATCATGTTTCGAATTAATAACACGAGTATTATCAATTGAATGAATATCATCATATTATAAATTTAAAAAAATCAAATGTAAAAAATATTTTTTTATTTTATTTAAACCAAGCGGAAAGAGGCGGATTTGAGATTTTGAGATTTTTTTTGGATTTTGAAAATCCAAAAATCCAACAGTAATGTTCTCTTGTAAATGAGGAAATTTCCACCTGAAATTTTTAGCATATGTAGGTCGCATGGCCCTTAGAATATCCTAAAAGTTTCATCGCAAACCGATATTTTCCTCTCAAGATAATCCGGTTGCAAGAAATAGTCATATTTCACAGCATGGTCACAAAATCCAGTTTTCTTGAAAATTGATTATCTTGAGAGGGAAACATCCGTTTACGCTGAAACTTTTAGGATATTCTAAGGACCACGAGGTCTACATATGGGGAAAATTCCAGGTCGAAATTTCTTCATTTACAAGAGGACATTGCTGTTGGATTTTGGGATTTTTTTCGGATTTTTCATGGATTGGCAATCCCGAAAATCCGCCTTTTCCTCCTTGATTTAAACAAAATTTATTTTGCATAGATATCTCAATCACAAATGTTTATTAATCAAACATCTTCATATGATATTATTTATAAAAATTTACTTTGTTTTTTTAGATAAAAAAAATGTCGAATCCTCCACCAACTTGTGAACACAAAGAATTATGGAATACACTTCATAATAGTACTTTTCAATACGATTACCAAATGTATTCAACAACATTTAACTATGCTATGAAAAAAAAAGATTTTGAACTTGTTGGTACATCTGAAAATCAAGCCAAATTCAGATTAGGTCGTCAAACAATTGTTGTTAATTTTGGCGAACATGATGGACTTTTCATTGCCGATATGAAATTTAATAATAACACCAATAAAGTAATTGAAATTAACATGACCGATTATTTAAATAAAGATAAACATGAAGAAAAAGATTCAAAAAAAAACTAAAGTAAATTTATTAGAAATTAAATTCAAAAAATTTATTGATTTTTTTTAGACGTATTGTGCATTTGAATTCATTAGTTAGCCATTTAAATACCGAAATCGACAAGGTTCTGAAGAAATAATAATCAACCAAATCCTGATGCAATATTATAATCGTTAAATATATTTCTTTTTTTTTCTCTATCTTCATACATGTCGGTATATTTATCTTATTTTCTTTGACTCTTTTCTTTTCTCTATCTTCATATATGTCAGTTTATTTATTTTATTTTCTTTGATTCTTTTTATCTGTTATATGCATATTCAAGCAAAGTGATTCCTATTCTATCTTTACTCACACAACAACGAAAAAAAAATTATCAACTATTTACATATGATGGAAGATGTTTTAAAAAAATTAATCACTATTTTTTCTTTTTCTTCTGCTTCTTTATTCCGCTCTTAGCTCTTTGCCATGGAAAACCACATGCATCTAAACGAATATTAAATGTAAATTTGTTTAATCGCAACATATGATTGATAATATTCTGTTTCAAATTATTCCCATCAACAAATGTTGTTTCGCAAGAAACTTCAAAATACAAAACAAGTTGTTTTAAATTAGACATTTGATGTAAAAGTGGTATGATTATTTCATCGTAGCAATATATTTTCTAAGCAAAAAATAAGAAGAAAATCTATAAATTTGGTAATTTTTCCTATAAAAATAAAATATTGATAAATTTTAATATGTTTTATTTTTCAATAAATTACAAATTTATAAAAACATACTTCAGTATTTATTTTTGACAATGAATGGTCAATTGATGATTTAATATTAACATAGAACGTATGAAATTGATTGAAATGCCCATCAAGTACTTAGGTGTGACCAAAAGTTCTGGCAACATTAAATAAAAATATAAAAATAAAGAGACATTTTAAATATTATTTTATCAAATGACGAGGATAGTTGTCATGATTGTTTATATCAAGGTCAATTCTTTCGACACAATTTATTAAGTTTTGTTGACCTCTTTTTCTAAAAAAATTTCCAGCTACCTTGGATACCACATGAACTAATTATATTTCATTTGTTTTAAAAATTTAATAGAGTTTTGTTCTCGAATGTCAGTTGCATTCTAGAATTACTAGTGATGTGATATCGAATAATTTTAGATAGGTTAGTCATAAGTTATCTAATGCTAACTGGCTTATTGAAGATAATTTGTCAAAGACTGTTGTGCATGAAGACAGATTTTAACCAAAGCTTTGTTTAGTATATTCTTTAAATCAAATAATCCTGAGTGTAGATAAAGGCAAGACTGTAGATCACAAGTATTATATTGAAAATTGCCCGAAGCCTTTTGTTAATGAAATATGAAAACAAACATGCATAGTTTTTACCATAGGCGGCGGATCGTGAAGGTTTGAAATGCTTGGACTTCATCTGAATAAAGCACTATTAGGTTCAGCCTCATTTGATTTATGGTAATTGGTGACGAAACGTTTAAGTTTTTAAGATTTGAGGCTTACCTGATTTTCAAACGTTCCCCGTCCCTGCAAACTATTATTATCTTCCATCACTTGTATCCCTCCACTCTATTGTTATAATTGTATGTAAATCAATTTATTTTTCACTAATGTTTTATTTTAACTCTCCTACGGTTTTTGTGGGTCCGACAAGACCCACAATATTGTTTTTCGTTTTTTTCTTCTTAAAGAGCTATCCTTTTCGGAACGATCTCTCCGCTAATCGTTAGTCTTCCGATGATCCACAAGAGCCATATGGAGTTTCGCGCAAAAGTCTTACCAATAAAAAACTGAAGTGTGGGTCACCATGGACCCACAAACACCTTTGGTGTTATACAAATGATTTTTATTCATACTACGTCTGCCCTCTAGTGTTTAAAGAGTTTATTTACCAAAGATTCGTTACTTCGTCACTGTCAATAGTCAATCGTGTGGTTTTTTACCTTATTCTGCGGATGTTTTCATATTTTTTATCGAAATATTTCTGCCATCGCTTTTGGTCATGATTACGACAACCATACTCGAGTTTTTTTTGTTGAAAACAACTAGCCTGAAAACTTCAAAAGTTGTTCGAACATACAATTCAATTTTTCTTTGATTTTTCAGATAAAAATATGACCACTAAATCAAATCTAAAAAGAATTCGAGAGATCATTCTTACAGATAATGATAATAATAATGAATTTGATGACACTGTTTTTGAAGATGACGAATCGAATTCTGATTCTGATTATTCTCCATCTGGAACAGAATCTGATGATACATCCACTGATGAATGTATTTCGAAAGAAGATGATTCATCTGATTCCCACATTAGTGATGATGACATAAGCACCAATACTCAACCTGAATCAGTAGAAAAAGGTGGTATTACATGGTCAATACACAATAGTAAAGATCATGGTCGTCTTCGTGCCACCAGTATAATGAAGAAGAAACCAGGTGCTATTACTGCTGTTTATACAATAGAAGATGCGTTCAAGCTCTTCTTCATAAATGATATATTAGACACAATTGTATTATATACAAACAATTATGCAAGAAGATATTTTGATCAACAAAACCAAAGACGATTAAATACTGATGTTCATCATTCAAAATTAATCAAATGAAAGAACTCGATCGTATAGAATTAGAAGTATTTCTCGGTTTACTAATTCAAGCTGGTGTTAATCATACTAACCATCAATCGGTCGAAGAATTATGGGATATCAGTAAAAGTTGTCCTATATTTCATGCAACGATGTCATTAAAACGTTTTCAACATCTCTTCAGGTTCATTCGATTTGATGATCGTCAACAACGCGATAAATCAGACTGACTTGCCCCAATTCGATATATTTTTGAATCTTTCGTCAAGCAACTTCCTCGACATTTCATTCCAAGTGAGAACGTAACTGTTGATGAACAATTGGTTCCATTTCGTGGTCGATGTTCATTTGTACAATATATGCCAAACAAGCCAAGCAAATACGGCATCAAGTTTTGGGTCTTATCTAATGTTGATAGTCGATACGTTTTAGCATTAGAACTATATACTGGTAAAATAGGCAATGTAATTCAACGGAATCTTTCTACAAATGTTGTTTTACGTTTAATCGATCAGCTACTCAACAACGTCAAACAAAGCCGTAATGTTACTTATGATCGATGTTTCACCGATTTAGACTTGGCCAAATCTTTATTAGATCGAAAAATGACTTCACTTGGTGTCGTTGATCATAAACGATCTTTTGTTCCCAATGTATTAAAAGTTGTCTGGAATGAACTTTATTCTTCTTGGTTTTTTTTGCAGAACAAAACATAATCGCATCCTATCAAGCAAAAGAAAAAAAACCACCGATTATTTTATTATCTACATCACATAATTTTCCTGAATTATTAGATGATGAGAAGAAACTTTCTACCATGATTCATGATTACAATCAAACGAAATTCGGAGTTGATATTATAGATCAATGCATTAGTACGTATACAGTTCGTCGAGTAACTAAAAGATGGCCAATGATGGTGTTTTTTAATTTGATCGACATTGCGACAATCAATGCAATGACTTTATGGTTACGCCAGAATCTGGATTGGCATAGCCGGAAAAACTATGTTCGACGTCTTTTTCTAGAAAATCTCGGAAAATCTTTAACAAATCCTCATAATGAACGTCGAAGTCAACAAGTTCGTCTTACATCAAAGATACAACTTGCTTTACAATCACTTGGTTTTGAATTAAAGCCAAAAATATCAGTAAATCAAGTACGTATAAATGATCCTTCAAAACGAAGACTATATTATATGTGTCCAACACATCCTGGTCGTAAAAGTCAACAAGTGTGTGACATATGCAAAAACAATGTCTGTAGATCTCATTCATTCAGCTTCACCAGTGTTATTTGTCAATTATGTAAAAAAAATAATTCAACAGCATGAAACTTGATTCACATAAACTTACAAGAAGAACGAAAACAGTTTTAGCGTCATACTGATGTTATTTTCTTTTATTGATTTTTAAACATAAAAAAATAAACAAGAACGAGATTTCTGTTGCTTTTAATATAAGTGACTGTGTATATAACGATATTCACTATCCAATCTATAATTATATACATTGTTCATTCGATAACATTTTAAAACCGTAATTTTATCGTGATCTCCTCTTAAAAACTTTTTTTTAAAGTACGATCGTTTTTACATATCACAACCATATTAACGTGTGCACAGTTTAAAAAATCATGATATAGGCTTTGATCCACCGTATCAAGCGCAAAACAGTAAAAAAATCACGTTTTCCTAACTCATTTACATGTGGGTCTTACTAGACCCACAAAATACCGTTTGTGTGATAAAATGAGGATACCGTAGAAGGGTTAATAATAATTGACAATATTCAGATTATTTTCGCATGAGGAAAATAGTCTTTTAAATGTTCAGGAAATGTTGATTTATTCCGAAAACCTACGAAACTCATTTTCGCACAATTACTTCGTGTTGTATTTCTTCTAAAATTGCGTGTCACTTTTTTCACTAGTCGATAATCCATACCAACGCAAACATTATTTGGTAAACATGTTTTGGTATCAAACAAAAATTGTTCGTGATAATCTTTATGAGCTTCAGAAAGTTCAAGTTCTACAAGATAAGGATATTCAATGATTGCTGAATCTTGATTTTGATTTTTTGATTTTCTAAATTGTTTATTATTTTGTCGTTTTTGATTAATTAAAGTTAATTTTTCCAAGAATGGAAATGATTGAGCAATTTGAAAAAAAAATTCATGTTCAAAAGGACGTTCATCAAATAAAGATACTGTACGAACTCGCTCAAATATTCCACCTGGAAAATTATTAGTTATATATTTGTAATATTTCAATTCATATGGATATGAATATATATGGCATCGACTAAATCCATTTTTCTTTGAAATAATCAACAGAAGAAATAATTTGTTTATTTTGAAAATCTTTGAATGTTTGTTGAACATATTCATTAGATGGTAAATTAAATTGATTATAAAAACGAGTTGATGAACGAATATTAAATTTAAATTCGTTTAATAATGGCATATGATTGATAATATTTAACTTCAAATTATTACCATCAATAAATGTTTTTGTCGTGCAAACTACAAGAGACAAATCAAGTTTTTCTAAATTCGACATTCGATGGAAAAGTGATAAAATTAATTCATCATAACACTTTGTATTCATATCACAATACAGTCTAAACGATCTTAAATTAGGTAGTTTTTCCTGAAAATGAAAACAAGTATAATTTATTTGAACAAATTGAAAATTAAGCAAAATAAGCTACCTTATTATTGTTAACTAAATTCGAAGTAATTTTTTCAATATTAGCATGAAATATACGAAGCTGATTGAAACGTCCATCAAGCAAATAAAGACAATCGCTAAAGTTATTCAGATTAACGTGTAATTCTAATAGAGTCGAAGATATAACATTTGGAGGTGAGATATCAAAGGATAAATATTGATGCCAAATTGAATATGGACCAATATCTAATATTTGTAAATTAGTGAACGTATTAAAGATATAAGTAAATAAAAGTGGATTTTCATCTGTTATTGTATCTCGTTCTCCATTTGATCGAATATCGATAACAAATAATGAAATTTGATTTTTGTAGGTAGAAATGAAAAGAGATTCGTCTAAAGAACGAAAAAATTAAAAGATCATTGAAAATATTTTATTTATATAGCTTTAATGTATAGCGAAAGAATCAAAATTAAATATCTTACCAGAAAAAAGTTGTAAAGCTCTTTCTATTTCAATATTATACAAAGTAATTTCAGATAAATTAGGATAATTTGTACACCGAAGAATACGTTCCATTGATAACAGTTCAAGATCAAGCCGTTTGACTTTTTCATGAATTTCAGGTAAGATTTGAAAACAAAAACGATCAAGCATCGGATCAGGTAATGGATAAGTAAAATATATTGATAAAGGTCTTGCCATAATCAAACGCTGTGGTACAAAATTTACCAAAGTCAAACGATTCGTGAAAATCGAATCACATACTATTCTATTTAAACGTATATTGTCACCTATTAAAGAATAAAGTAATGTAATATTGTCCAATTTTTTAAAAATATTCATAAGAATTTCATCAGGTAAATCATTCAATTGAAGAGATGAATATTCCATGTTCATTTTCACTTGTCTATTCTTTTTAACCTATAAATGTCGATATTTATATAGACATAATCATGTGTTCTATTTGACCGATGTCGTCAATAAAAAACAATGATATAATTTTTTCCTATACTCTCAATGGACGATAAATAAATTTGTGGCTGATAGAATGATTTTTTTTTTATTTTTTGTTCAAAATATCATTTATTAATGGGCGGACAGAAAAAGATATTAAAAAGATGCTACAGCAAATTTGGTCTGCACATGATAGAGAAAATATAATTAAATAAGGAAATAACAAGACAAACAAGTTCACCAACCACTTTATTTTTAATAAAAATAATACAGTGAAGCTTTCGAGGCCTTTCATATTGTCATTTTCAACATTAAAGTTATGAAAGAGATTTTTTACATACATACGAAGAGGTAGTTTATTTTTTTCTTCTTCTCTTCATTTGAATATAACCAGTTCATGAGATATTGTGTTATATGGATTTTGGTGTTTGAAAGGTAATAAAGTCTGTTTTATTTACAAACGGTGGACCATCATAAAATATATACCTTTAATAAGAAATCCTTTTCTTGAGTTTTCCTATCTTTAATTTTATCGTGGTCGATCTTCTGACAACTTATTACTTTTTTCAAAAGCATTAATTTCTTTTCAATAAGCTAAAACATTTCTTTCACTTTTTACTAAAATCAAATATTTCATCACAGAATGAAAAGTCCATTCTAATCGTTGCAACTGAAAATGAACAACTGATTTCAATAGTTAAAAAATAATGACACATACTTTCACAATTCTCCTAAAATACCTGTGCAATGTTTCATCTGAATTGATACATAATCTGACGAAACAAAAGGAAAATTTATATTTTTATTTAGGGATAGGAAAAATAGCAATCACTCACTCACACTAGTCACTTTTTTCGTCGTGTCACTGACGGACATTATCCATATGACAGAAAAATCGTATATTCCTTTTCTTTCGTTCTGTTGCATTGTATGATAAATGCATATACGAATTCTCTGCAATGGATAACGTACGTCAGTGACAGAACTAAGAAAGTGACTAGTGTGAGTGAGTGACTGCTATTTTTCCCATCCCTATTAAATCTTCATATTGTTGTACAAATTAAAAAAAAAGAAAGATAAATTCTCGTTTTGTTTGTTTCACGTCAGAACAAAAAAACCAAAGTTGAAAAGTTTTTGAATTGAAAGTTTTTTTATCAAAATTTAGCAACTAGAATAATACATATTGAAACAAACAATGATTCGTTTGTGGATTCATGAATGTTTTCGATAATGATTTTTTTGAAGAGAATTTATCTTTATTGATTTTCTTATCTTTAATTTTAGTGTTTTTGCTCATCGACTTAATGATGATAAGGATCATGAATACAATTTTAGCTAAAAAGTTCGATACTCATATGAATGTAACAATTCATTTAATTTATCAAAATCAAGTTTCTCCAAGATTCGATGATTTTGTTAATCCAGATGAAATCTATGAAGATATAATTGATTTTGATAAATTAAAAGATAATATGGAAGAAATTCTTAAAGGTTTTAATGAAACTCGGGATACTGTTCGAATGGATTTAGTTTTATTTCATGATGCTATTTTACATATAACACGTATTGTACGTGTTTTGCGACAACCGTATGGTAATATGCTTTTTTCATGAAGATTTAAAATATTTATATAAACAAATAAGCCTATCAAATCATGAAACAACATTTATATTTGTTGATACACAAGCTGTTGAAGAAATAAGAATTAAAAACATCAATGGCATGAGAATTAAAAAAAGATAAAGAATTGATAGATTTTTGTTCAAGTAGAGCTCTGGGACATTTTCAAGTGTTGGAAATATCCATGTGTAATATACTGGATCGTTCCAACATGACGCATTAGGTTTTTTCCCACTGTATTATCATATGTTCTATATTAAATTTTTTGGCTTTCTCTTTTTCTATGTGATTGTTCATATGATTATGTTTATAAACATGAAAACATAATTTTACGCAGAGAAAATACCTACTCTTAGTCATAAGAATCGTGATTTACTTCTCTGTTCTAAATCTCTGAAAACCTACCCAAGATCTTCTGGAGATCCTCCAGAAATCCACTCCAGATCTTGACAGGATCTCCATTAAATCCTCCATGGTTTCTAACCTAGTTAACGTTCTCTTAGTATATTTTCAGCGAAATTGAGAAAAAAATCGAAAATGTCTTAGCGGTTTTAGCATAGGATGCAGTAAAACAGAATTTTCTTGTCGAAAACAAAAAATTTCAAAAAACTGCACGTATAACTTTGAAGAGGAGCATCTTACGAATCGAATCATGTGAAAATATTGATTCTAGTACCTAGGGAAAAATAGTTGATGAGTTTTTGGCGGGATTTTGGTGACTTAAATTTCGACGGGTTTGGCGAATGGCAGTTTTGGTCTATAAGGGCTTTTGATCAATTTTCTGATTCAGTTTTCAAAGCTGAACAAGAATATGTCAATGAGAATAATCTGAGTTGACAAGAAAATCTGAAAACTGAAATTTACTGAGAAAAGGTGGAAAATTGAATTTGTCAAATCCGTCGAGTTTTTTCGATTTTTCGAATGAAAGGAAGCTTCGAAAAACTTCAGAAAACATATTCTTGCTCACTGTGAAATTCTCTATCGAATGGTGTATAAAACATCGAAAAATAAAATTTTTTGCTCGAACTTTGCTTTCCGTGCACCTTACTAATACGTTGAATAAGTGAATGAAATGTAAATGAATATTTCAATTCATTATGAAATAGTTAAAAGAAATTAAAATGAAATAATTATCATTCAAAAAGAAATTTATGCATATATGTTATAACAGACAAAGCATTTCACAATATGTTATAAAAGAGTGTAGATACGATTGAAATTTCTAAGAGATAAAATTTTAATAATAAATGAAATAAGAAGATGAAGATTTATTTTTATCATTTCATTTTCTATGTCACATTTATCATGCATCTAGGAGTCAATGCACGAAAGCCGCGACACATCGTGCTCAATTAATCTCACAGATTTCAATGAAATTTTGCCAGTATGTAGGCTCAAGTGAGATATGAAAACGCCTAAAATTTCAGCTTCTAAAACCGTTCTCTTGTGGAGATATTCGATCCACAACAGAGGCACCCTCAGGTAAAAAATGAGTATGACCAATGCAGCATTCATGCATTGTATATTTCACCATTTTTTAACAATAAGATTTTTAGGGCTGAAATTTGGAAGATATATACTATCATAGGTACCCTACATATTGACACACTCAAAACCATATTTCAGCGTATTAGCCAATATAGAGGGTTTCCATCGGTCCTACCTATACCTCCTGCCTTGTGATCAGGATTTCTAACGCTTATGAACGAGTTATGAGCTCCTGCTTTGGAACTAAGTACTACTGCCCCTTAGCTATCAGCAATAATTTTCGAAAGTTTAGCATTTTGCTTTTGACCCGAACGAAAACCTCTTCGAATACATATATGAGTCATTCTGTATAAGTCATGATCGACTCGCACAGAAACTACTTCGCAGAAAGAACATTAACACGTTCACCTCACAGCCAAACCTACCTCAACATCACATTCTCATCTCCTACAACAGTAGAAGACTCCTATAAACTGTTATCGTATGTCTTCGTAGTTGATTAGTACGCGGCCGCATACGATCGATGGGACTCGACCTGGAAATAATTAGTTTAAAAAAATGAGTACAAAATTTAAAAGTTTTTCTAAAGATTTTTAACACTGTTTATTTTATTAAACTAATGGAAAAAGAACTGAAAATTTTCATCAAAAATCATTTAGTTGAATAAATAATTATGGAATCAAACAATTAATAAAGAAAAATTAACTTGTTCAAGAATTATTTTCTATGAATTTCTATACTATAAAGAAAGTTTGTTAGTAATCAGCTAGCTACAGAAAAAAGGAAACAATGTTAATCTAATTATGCAGTTGAATACACAA